CAAACTTAGTAAATAGGGTCAGGTTTTTTTCTTGAAGACCCATGAAGATGCCTGTCTCTGAATGACAGAAAGCATACATGTGTGTATGCATGTGTGTGTTCTATATTTTTCTTGTCAACATATTAAATCTGTCTGGGAAACAAGCTCCTTGAGCTTATTAATCATCCATCGTTTCTCTATCCTTGCCTCTCTCACCAACAGGTTCACACAGCTTATATAAAACCTTTCGTCACATTTTAATGACATGAAACTCTTCATCTACCTATTTTCCTTTCTGAATATTTTAGTCTCTTCGAAAGCCCAACTCTGACCTTGATATCCTTTACCCCTTCCTAACTTCTTTTACTCTTGTGTCAGATGGTCGCACTGGTGAGGCACCTTGATGGTATATTGATCTTTCTTCAAGGATACCATGCAGTTACCAGATAGGACACTGTCATAGATGATATCACTTTAGAAATACCTCCTCACAGCAGGCAAATTTTGTAATCATTAACTACTTATTCTCATAGCACACAGTGACAAGCTTATGTCTAAGTCTAAATAAACATACCATATTCTCTGTTCTCATGCCCTAGTTTGGCAAGAGAGAGGCTTTATTTCCTGCGTAGTTAATAATGAATTAATCAAAAAACTCTTTCAGCATCCCCCACCCCCACAGACCTGGCCAATAAGAAAATATTTCTGATCATAAAGCTAAACGAAACACTGGACATTAAACTTTTTATCAATAGTACCTGCCTCCACCTCATATACTTTCAGATTTCTAAATATACTCACTTACATCTTTTTTTTTTTTTTTGGTTTTTTTACGAGATAAGGTTTCTCTGTATTGTTTTGGAGGCTGTCGTCCAGCCCGGCCTCGAACTCACAGAGATCTGCCTGCCTCGGCCTCCCGAGTGCTGGGATTAAAGGCATGCACCACCACCGCCAAGGGTATATGAGTAGCTGCGCTCCCCTTCTAGAACCTCCAAACAAGAACTCACATCTTGTCTCCTTATTAATTATCTTATTCATATAGTCATGATCTCATTCTAGAAAAAATGGAGCTATCCTACAAAACACCTTGTATATTTTCAGTAAGTGCTTACTCCCCTTCTGCTAAAAAAAAACAGCTTTCCTTTCTGCTGTGCATAAACAGTTCTATGTAGAACATCAAGCCCAATTTTTTTATTGAAGATACATTCATAGTCCCCCACCTTGTCACACATTCCATATGTCATCACCCCACAATCATTTACTTTCAAACCTCTCCTCAAGGGACTATCATACAATTTCCCATCCCCATGCAGATCCCAGAGGTCATCTCCCAGGACAGCATTTGTAGAAAAACTTCTTTTGTATAACATACTCTCAGCAGCAGTACTATGCTCTCACATTGATAGACTTTTTTTTCAGGTTGAACAGAAGGCTTCCCCACTAGGTTCAGAGAGATAAGATGTCATTTGTAGCTTCTATCAATAATCATTCCTAGATTTTGTTTGATTTCTTATCGATAATCTGACAGCAATCTGTTTTAATTTCCAAGGAAGCTCAGGATCTAGTTATTTCTTCAGGTAATAAACACTCCTTCTCTATCCCCTATGATCTACAGGAAAGGTAGAACATATCAATGTTTTGCTCAGTTTATTAAAAGTGCCAAGTCATTGCCCTTCTGCATAAATTCTCCATTTACCTGACTGCTTACAGCCTAGACTGCTTACAGCCAACTAAGGATATTTCAAGGTATACCCTAGGTAAAACAGCTACATCAATTTCAACTCTCTAAAACCCAATAGACCTGTATGCAGGATGCATTCTCCAAAACTGTAGATTTCTGGGTCTCATTACTAGCTAGAAATAGATCACTTATATCTTACATCAGGAATGATGCTACTTCTAAGTAAACCAGTTCAGAATAGCCCCAGATACAGCACAGAAATTCTAGCAAACAACATAGAAAACTAAGATTTAACAAATGTGTCAAGAACACATGCTCAGAAGAGAATAGCCTCTTCAATAAATAGCACCAGCAAAACTGAACATCCTAGGGACAAAAATGAAATAAGACTGTTATCGATCACTGTTTTCAAAATTAACTCAAAATGAATTAAATTACTATGAAAACACTTAAAATTATTTTCTTATATTTTAAAAGACATGCATTTTATAAGAAAACAAACAAAAGAAAACAAATAATATTACCATAAATTACAACCTTTTTGCATGATTAGGAATCAGTTAACAGAATAAAGGTTTGACCAAGAGAATGGTAGGAGGTGTATGTGACCTATGTTTCTATCAGGTTTTATATTCCATATTTATAAGGACCCCCAACACCATAGTTAACATCTGTTCCAATTTGAAAAATGAATAAAAGACTTGAGCACATGTTTTTCAGAAGACCAAACTTCCCAAGATTTATACAAAGAAATAAGTCACATTGCTAATCATCCAGAAAATATAAATGAAAATGACAATGATTTGTCACATCACTCCATTCAACTGTCTATTATCAAAGACTGTGTGTTTGCATGTGTGTGTGGGTTGCCTGTATAGAGAAGTTCTGAAATTAGTCTAAACTAAAGCAGCTAATGACCTAGAAATCCCAGGACTAATCATATATTCAATGGGAACGAAATTCTTATATCTAAGTGATATATGCCCTCCATGACTAGTGTGATTGTTCAGTAAAGAGGCAAATCAATGTAAGTATCTAAGAGTTTCAACTGATAAACAGATAAAGAAAATGTAATTATATCACTCTAGAAGGTTATTTGGCTACAGAAATGCTAAAATCCTATCACATTATAGAGCAACAAAGATGTACTCAGAGAGCATTATGTTAAGTAAAATAAACCAGGAGGAGGAGAAAACTGTCACATCATTACACTCCTTTGAGGAATCCAACCAAGATAATCTTTGAGAAAGACAGAGTATAGAGGCTGAGGAAATTAAAGGCTTGTGGAAAAGTTGCTCAAGAGTACTAAATTAGATAGTAGGAGGTAAACATCCTGCAGCTCTAAGGACATGATTATCATTAACAACATTATATTTATATTTTGTACACTGTACATTGATCATTTCATGTAAAATGTACACATTGTGCATCTGGCTTTTATTAATGAATGGGTAATTTAATTGTTTTTAAATGTGCAAACCTGCAAACCCACAAACACTAAAGTGAAAGAATAAGACAAATTTTGAAACTTTTCTTCCAATATTTTGATCCAGCCAGAAATAATCTCCTTGTTGGACATCAACAAGGAGTATAAAATTACAGTCACACTGGATAAGTTTTTAACATAGCAAAAATACTAACAATATCCTCTTTCTATGTCACCCATAGTAGTTATAGTTATCGTGAGTAAGAATGAGAGAACAAAAGCAATAGATAGAAATGTGAATTGGCAGGAGTTAAGTGTTTTATGATAAGCTATACAAGAATTTTCTGTATTAGGACATAACAGAAAATAAAACTACACAGAATATCCTATATTGACTTTCTAACTGTATTTTCCAAAGTATTAACTATTCTCTCCAGTCAGAACTTCTATGTTAAATTCTACTTTACTTTCACAGTACTTGTGATACTTTGAAAATTTGCACATCAAAACTTCAGTCTTTAAAAGCTAAGCAATTTATCTAAGTCTTATGACCATTAAGTTTAAAAGGTAGATGAATAATTCAGGCATTACTTTCTTGATCAAGGTTACTGACTTTAACACAAATTGAATATAATCAAGTCTGAGACCATTATTTCAATGTCATTTAAGTGCTCAACTTTCATCTCTCCCTATCATTTATGCCCCATGTGGAAAATATGAAGTACCCAAATATGAGTCAGGGCATCATCTCCTTCTTCAATAAACTCACACAGTTCACTCCACACATCTTCACATGGACCCCATACATTGCTTCATTGTGTGCAGTGGCACATTGGTGCCCCATTTAATGAAGGACTTAAGCTTGAAGGATTGTTTGAACCCAAGAATTCCATACTAGCTGAAATCTCATAACTAGACCCTATGTCATGAAACAAAAACAAAGACAAACAAACATACAAAAATACCACTTTATCATGCTTGGTTCTAGAAATTCAGAATTAAAATTCGGTCAGGTGATTGGTCTTTTTCTGTAAATAAAGCTTTACATGAACTGGGCCCGTTCTACCTTTTCCATTTTCTGTCTGTTTCTGCACTGTAAGGCTCTGTTGTCACCACACAGATCTTCAATATGAAGTTTCCAACATTTATGATCTGGCCTTCAACAAGGTATTTTCTTCCCATCTCAGAGCTTCCTCAAGGTATCAGAGGGCTGAAAACTAGGGATTTTGTACTTCGGACAGATAGTGGGGTGGTAGGTTGGACAAGACTGCCCCAGTGGTCTGACCAGTCAGGAATAGCCCTTTGCATGTTAAAATTTCACAATCTCCAGTGCTGACACTTCTCGAACATGTTGACATAGGATTATGTTCCTGCTGTGAGGATTATTGAAGAGACAGCATAACAATATCTCCTTTAAGATTTCATGGAGCAGTAAAAGAAAAGACACTAAGACTTCATTGAGTATGATAGGTTTTTCTGTGAATATAATCACATGTGCCTGTCTTCTGAACTTCAGAAGTGGCTGATTTCCACACAGTGTCTCTTTTATGACTTTCCTCTTTTCAGAGACCTAATGTAGTTTCATATATTAAAACACTATAAATAACAAAGAAGAACATATAAAACAGTCAAGTTCAGTTAAAATGAAAACTGGGAACAAATCAATTATTTGTGTTCCTGGAGTAAAAGTTATGAAAATTTTTCCTTTTTTTGAAAATTTTCTTTATGGCAGCAAATACACTTCAGGAGGTTTTTAAAATACACTGACTGAGTGCTGACTCAATTATCCAATCAAATAAGTTCATACAATTCAGCCCGTTTAAATTACTTGACAGAGGTATGCTACGAAAAGTACACATATATTTTCAAAGTCATTATGTAAGGCAGTAATCTAGAAGCACTCGAGTAACTTACATGTCTTCGGGATCCATCGTATTCACATCTTTCAATTTTCCCTAAGCTGCCATCTGAGAAATAGAGCTTTTCTGCACGGTGGTCAATGGTGAGTCCATTTGGAGTGAGTATGTCTGTGCTGACTATCACATGGGGATTCTTCCCAGTCAATGTGGCTCTCATGATGCTGGGATGCTGTTCATTCCAATTGGTCCAAAACATTAAACTGATAAAAGTGAAAATTATAAGAACAATTGAAAAATTTTATTAAAAATAACATTTATAGAGACACAGTAATGTGAAGTTGCATAATATTTTCTTCTTAGTCTATGACTATGTGGAAGTCTAAGTGGTAAGGAAAGTCAGTATTGTTTCCAGACTTTTAAGACTCCCCCAAAGACACATGAAAATACAATTGCTCTGTGTACACCTTCAGATAGTTCTTTAATTAGATGGAGTCAATTTGAGGCTTAGTAAAGAATAATTAATTAGTTGTATAACTAATCAAGAACAAAACAAAAATACTAAACTTTATATGACCTCTATGTTTCTATAACTAAACGCTAACAATATCATCACACTTTGCAAATTTATCATGATCACTGTAGGCAATTACACTGTACTTATGATAGCTATATATCTCCCTATTATTGATAAAATCAAACATCTTTTCTATTTCCAGCTTTCCTTTGGAAATTTTGCATTTCTTTCTTTATATCTTTTAGAAATACAATGTGGTAAAATTTCTGTATTTTTATAGTTTTATCTTTTTATTTTTATTACATATATGTATATATAATTTGCGGGATAATCTGGGGTCTTTCAAATCCTTGACTGTAATATCTGTCACACAAATATGTTTGTATAAGTGCTGTGGGGTAGCCCTGGCATTACATGCATGTCCTTAGAGCTCAGCAGGAGGGAAAAAGCCTCCAGGCTCTGTTTTCACGCAACAGCCACTATCCTGTCTTTTCTCTGTGCTGTCTGCTTAGGTAAGAAGTTGGGACAGAATGTCAAAGCAAAGGCGGAAGCTAGAAATCTGGATGCTATAAGAATTTGGAATGAAAATCCTCCTTAGCTGTGATTAAAAAAATCTACTTATATTTTTGGTTATGAGCCTGGTCTTTAAATGGCTGAACTATAGAGAAATTCTTATGAATCCACAAGGATGACCCCTGCTAGGATTCCTAGCAATAGTGGAGAGGCTGTGCATTTAATCAGACTAGTGACTACCCTAATGTTCATCACAGAACCTACTACATCCAGTAACTGATTGAAACAAATGAACTGACCTACAGCCAAGCACTGAGCTGAACTCCTGGAGTTCAGTTGAAGAGAGGGTTGGGGGATCATATGAACAAGGGCGGCCAAGATATTGATGGGGGAAAAACACAGGGACAGCTGACCCAAATTAGAAGATCATGAGCTAAGAACTGACAGCCACAGACCTGCATGGGACCAAACTAGACTCTCTGAATGTGGATGTCAGTTATGAGACTTGATCATTTATTGGGGGATGATTTTTTTCAGTGGCACCAGGACCTATCCAAGGGGCATGAACTGACTTTTTGCATCCCACTCCCTTTGGTGGGATAGTTTACTCAGCCTTGATATGGGTGCAAGGACTCTGTCCTTTCTCAACTTGATATGACTCCCCAAGGAAGGCTTTACCCCCTGTGAGGAATAGATGTGGGGTTGGGAATGGAGGGAGGCATTGGGGAGGGCTGGATAAGGGGAGTGAGGGGGAACTGGTGTTGGTATGTAAAACGAAAATCAAATTATTTTAAACAGAAAAAGAAAATATACTAAGATTGTATTTTATGTTCTCAAACAGATTGCTCATACACTCCGATGTACAAACACTTAAAGTAAATTTAAGGTTATTATCACCAACATTACTTACTAAGTTTCGGAAAACTTCGTGAAATCAATATCTGTGCCACATTCAAATAAAAAATAAATGTTTCTAGTTGCTAATTTAAAAAAGTACCTAACATATGTACCTAAATATTGTGAAAATTAACTTTCTATCAAATCAATTTACATATTCAATGCAATCCTAATCAAAATCACCACAATATTCTTACAAATATGTTAGAACTTTACAGAAAAAGTTCTATAATTCATATGATACAAAAGAAGACACCAGATAGATAAAGTAATCCTTAACAACAACAAAAAAGTACTCAAAATATTACCATTCCAGACTTCATGTTGTATTATAGAGGTATAGTAATTAAAAACAATATGATACTGGAAAAGGTCATGTATATCAATCAAATAAAGCAGAAAAGCAAACATGAGTACACATAATTGCAGTCATCTAATAAAAGACAAAGAGGACTAAAATGTTTAGTAGAAAAGTCAGTGTCATCAAACAGGTACTAGGAAAATTGGATGTCCTTATGAAGAAGAATGAAATTATACTCATATTTATCATCCTGCACAAGAATTAACTTCAAGTGTATCAGAGACCTCAGTTTGAAACCTGATATCCTAAAAATGCAATATGGAAGCACAGGCAATTCCCAACAATATATAGATGCAGAAAAGGACTTCCTGGAAAGCTCTGTGTTTGCCCAGGAATGAAGAGCAATAATTGACCTTATAAAACTAAAGAGCTTTATACAGCCAAGGAAACAATTAATTAATTGAAGAAGAAATCCTCAGAATGGGGAGAATCTTTTTCAACTACAACCCTGACAGAGGACTAATAACCAGAATAGACACTGAACTCAAAAACATCAAGAAAGCAAATGAGCTATGTGAAAAATGAGCTGATAATTAAAAACTCTTCATCATTCTCATCAATTATGAAATTGCAAATTCAAGAAACTCAGAGATTTCATCTCATCCAAGTCACAATAGTTAATAAAATTACTGACATAAAGTGTTGATGAGGAGGTGGAGAAAGAGGAACACTCATTTACTGTTAGTGGTAATGCACACTGGTGCAGCCCTTCTGGAAATTAGTGTGGAGAATCCTCAAAACACTAAAAATAAGTCCAGATAGATAGATAGATAGATAGATAGATAGATAGATAGATAGATAGATGATAGATAGACAGACAGATAGATGGGCAGATTGATACATGTAATAACCTCTTATCAAAAAGTCTCTCTAGCCAGGCGGTGGTGGCACACGCATTTAATCCCAGCACTCGGGAGGCAGAGGCAGGCAGATCTCTGTGAATTCAAGGCCAGGCTGGATCGACAGCCTCCAAAACAATACAGAGACACCCTGTCTTGTAAAAACAAAACAAAAGGCTCTCTATAGCAAATGCAGACCACCACAGAAAGCTGTAACAGGACACAATGCAGAGATGAAGGAATGGATTGCCTAGAGCTCCGCCAAAGTGAATACATCTGGGGCATAGCTTCTGCACCTATAACTGAGGGAACATCATGGAGGAAGTAAGAGAGAAAGATTACAAAAGCCAGTATGCCAGGAAGTCTGTGGCTGTAAGATTGTCTCTTTAGAAAGGGCGGCATAAACAAAACATATGATAATATCAATAGGCATGCTATCATGGAAGAAGAAATATCATGCAGGGTCCTCCCGCTAAGGGAGAAAATTACCAGCAACTAATGTTTCCATAGAGAGGGAGATTTAGGCTCTCCCAGAGATCAGTTCCCTGACTGATTATTCCATACAAAGTGGTCAGCAATGAAGCCATATACACAAACAAAAACCAGACTCATCAGGTTGTATTTATATTGTCTATGTTGTATATATGATATTGTTATATTGTATATATTATGTTTACATGCATACATACACATAGAGAACTGTGTAAACATAATGATCAAAGAAAAAAGCTATCAATCTGATACCAGGGGTCATGGAAGGGGTTGGAGGAAATGGCTACAGGTAGAGACAGAGTGAGGAAACAAAAGAGAAAGAAAGTGTCACAATAATATTTTCATTAAAATGGCAAAAAATAAGATTGGATGAATATGCATTAGTTTCATTTTTTTGTTGTTCATTTGAGAATAAATGTGATTTTTCCTTCACAACTTTACCATGCCATAGTGGAGTGAAACTCCACAGTTGCATTTCTACCTAACAGCTATGTGTTTCACTTTTCTGTGTAATGATGTCCGTTATGACATTATTCACCTCTGTCATGTTTTTCTACTTTGTTTTATTCTTATTTTCTCAGAATTACTTCTGACATATTCTCCTCTCGGAAGTTCCTTGACAGCTCTAATTTAAATGTCTGGACAATTTATCAGCAAATGTATAAAGATGGAAAGATATGTACAGCAATTATTTCTTTGGACTTTCAGGCAGATACCCAGATATAAAAATTATTGGCCTAAAGCGGGAAAAGGCTATTTTTAGGGATAAGTAGATACTGATTAATTCTTTATATATTTATAAGTCAGTTCACTCTATACACCGTAGAATTTTCTGTATTTTCACTTTCATCATTCATGCTAGTTTTTTATTGAACCTCTCTCAGAGATAACACAACATTTAAGCCATGCACATTTTAATTATTCACACAGTGTTTTCATTAAAACTGAGAAAGACTTATGAAAGAGCTTTGGAGGGACTTTATCTTTAAAGTTAATTCTCTTTAAAGTGAGTATAGTGTTATATTCTTACTATAATGCAGATATAATAAATGAAACCTCTTACTTTTGGCATTCATCTAAAGCTAGCACATGAGGGTGGTCGTCCTCTGACATGGTGATGACTGCTTCCCTGTCAATTGCTCCAGGTTGAGTCTGGTCTACTGTGTGCCTGGTGATGGACGACGTGCTGGAGCTGGTCCAGTAAAGAGTGTCCCAGGCTCTGTGATAGGCAAGGCCCTCAACAGATCCCACATCTGATGAAAGAAAGTAGACAATAAACCACATTTTATTTTTTAAAAATGCCTTCTGACAAAACATTATTCAAGATATTTTCAAAGACATTATTTTATAAAGCATATGCTCATAAAATCTGTGAACTAAAAACACAAATGTGATTCAAATAAGTAATATATTGCAACATATGGCATATTAAAGTTGAAATTATATGTGTATGTGTTTGCATATGCATGAGGTGAGGTGGGAATGGGTTTTTTAAAATGTGTTATTAAATACTTAATTTTACATTCCAATATTAAAATTATTACACACATATCATTTCCTTTTGGTGTAAGAAAATGATGGTTTTCCATTTTGTGTCTCAATAATTAATTTTAATAAGTCATAAAACACAACCATTTATTCTAAAATAGTTAGCCAACAAGACCACATGGATTCAGTGGTGGTGAGTTTTATACTAATGATGCAGATCTGGGAATTTCAAGTATAACCAAATACATCAGACTTACAATAACATCACAAGGCAAATCAGCTGTTGACTTGTTGCTGTCAATGATGGTAGAAAATAATAAATAAGCTAGCTGAAAAATTGTTTCATCCTATTCTATTAATCAGTTATAAAAACACAAGGAGTTGATATGAATTGATAACAAAAGGAAACTGCAAATATCATGAAACGGCAAGCAGTGGTACTGATTCCATCACCCAGGGGTAACAAGATGAAAAAACAGTTTAATCATGCCATCATGCTGTAGCACTCCATCCTAGGCCCTGGGCAACAGAGCAGCTCAACTGATCTCAGAATGTACCTTTCTGCAACTAAATCCTTATTTTGCTACTTTTCTTCACACATTGAGTATAACAAAAGCTATACCCACATTACACCACACAAACAAAATTGGAACTAAGAGAGAACCTTGTGGTTTTTTTTTTTCTGCCCAGGAAACTCACATAGAGTACTGTACTCACACAAAACTCAGTAGATTACAAAAAAATTACTTTTCTGGCCGTTGGAACCCTATTCCTTATATAGGTTTGCTTTGCCCACGCTTAATACAAGGCAGAGTGTGTAGTCTTATGATGACTTGGTATGACATATTTTGCTGGTATCCATGTGATCCATGATCTTTTCTGAATAGAAGTAGAAGAAGAGTGGATGGGTTGTCATAGAGGAGTAGAAGGGAGGACTTGTAAGAGGAGGGAGTGGAACCTGCAATAAGGATGTTGGATACCTAAATATATAAGTAAAATGAGTAAACAAACCAAAATGGGAAAAGGGGGTTACTTTAACATTTCAGAAGTTTGTTTAAAGGTTAGATGTAATTTCATGGGAGTGCAAACCAACAATGACTTTTGAATCCCCAGAGATCTGGGGGCATCCCCAAACCATCCAGAAATTCATCTGCTGCCATCACAGCCTTGGCTTAGCCCCCACTGGCAGAGGTGAACACTGGGCCTTCTCCTGCCTCTCCTCATTGGATGCCCTTGACTAGGTCTCAACACCTTGTCCCACCCAACAAATCCCCCAGAGACTTGAGGGCAGTCCCAAACCATACAGCATTGCATCTGCTGTCACTGGAGCCTTGACATAGTCCCCAATGGGAGAGAAAGCCCAGAGACCTGGTGAAACCTTCCTCACACCACGAAACTTCCAGCACTACTTCTCCCACCATTGGAGCCCTGACTCTGCCCCCACTAGGAAAGGAAGACCAAGTAAGCAACAGATCCCACCCACATCATTTGAAGCAAAGAAACCCCATAAATCACTGGCCTCACCAGCACCAACTGGAGGAAGAGATGGGTAGATGACAGTATATTAACACATTCAACAACATAGAGTAATATGACACCACCAGAGTCTAGGGGTTCTACACCAGCAAGACCTGAACATCCCAACATAGATGAAGCAGAAGAAAATGACCTTAAAAATTACTTTATGAAGATGATAGAGGCCCTTAAAGAGGAAATGAGAAACCCCCTTAAAGAAAAGGAAAGAAATGGAGGAAAAGGTAAACCAAAGATTGCAAGAAATCAACACATCTCTTAAGGAAAGCCAAGAAAAACACAATCAAATATGTGAAGTAAACAATTCAAACAGTTGAAACTAAAATAGAGGCAACAAAGCAAATGAAGACTGAGGGAATGCTTAAAAATAGAATATCTGGGTAAATGATTGTGAACTATAGATGCAAGCATAACCAACAGAATACAAGAGATGGAAGAGAGAATTTCAGGCGTTGAAGATACACTAGAGGAAATAAATTCATCATCCAAGAAAATGTTAAGTTCAACAGATTCTTAATTCAGAATATCCAGGAAATATGGGAAATCATGAAAAGACCAAACTTAAAAATAATGGGTATAGAAGTTGAAGAAGCCTAGCTCAGAGGTGCAGAAAACATATTCAACAAAATCACAGAGGAAAACATTCCCAACCTAAATGAAGTACAAGAAGCTTAGAGAACATCAAATAAACTAGACAAAAACAAGTACCCTTATCACATAATAATAGAAACACCAAATATACAGAATAAAGAAAGATATTATGGGATGCAAAGTTTAAAGGTCATAAACATAAAAAGACAAACCTATCAGAATTAAACCTGACTTCTCAACGGAAACTCTTAAAGCTTAAATGTCCTGGATAGAAGTACTATGGGTAATAGCTGATCATGGATGCCAGTCCAGACTACTATAACTAACAATGATTTCAATGACTATAGATGGAGAAAACAATATATTTCATGATAAAACCAGATTTAAATAACACATATCCACAAATCCATATCTACAAAAATTACTGGAAGGAAAACTCCAACCCAAGGAAGTTAACTACATTAATAAAAATATAGGCAACAGATAATTCAACATTATCAAAAGTCAAAAAAGGGGAACACAATACTATAGCACAACCACCAAAAAATCCAAAACTAATAAGTATCAACAATCAGAAATGAAAAGGAGACATAACAGTGGACACTGAGGAAATTCATAGAATCATCAGGACATACTTTGAAAATGTGTACTCCACAACATTGGGAAATTTAAAGGAAATGGACAATTTTCTGGATAGATATCACTTATAAAAATTAAATAGAGAACAGATAAGAAATTTAAATAGACCTATAGCCTGTAATGAAATAGAAACAATCATGAAAATTCTCCCAACGAAAACAGTCCAGGGCCAGACGATTTCAGAGCAGAATTCTACCAGAAATTCAAAGAATACAATACCAATACTCCTCAAATTTTTACACACAATAGAAACAGAAGGTTCATTGACAAAATCTTTTTGTGAGTCTGTAATTACCTTGGTACTGAAACCACACATAGATACAATTAAGAAACAACTACAGACCAATCTCCCTCATGAACATCAATGCAAAAATATTAACAAATCAAACACAAGAACACATCAGAAAAATCCTCCACCATGATCAAGTAGGCTTATTCCTTGAGATGGATGGTTCAACATTTGAAAATCTGTCAATGTAACCCACAATATAAACAAACTGAAAAAAATGATCATCCCACTGGATGCTCAAAAAGCCTTTGGCAAAATCTACCACATCTTCATTACAAAGTTCTTGGAGACATCAGGGTTAACCGGAACATACCTAAACATAATAAAAGCAAGATACAGCAAGCTAACAGCTAACATCAAACTAAAATGGAGAAGAACTCAATGAGATTCTTCTAAAATCAGCAACAAGACAGGCTGTCCACTCTCTCCATATCTCTTCATTGTTGTGCTTGAAGTTCTAGCTAGAGCAATAAGTCAACCATAGGAGATTAAGAGGATAGAAATTGGAAAAGAAGAAGTGCAACTTCCACTATTTGAGAGGATATAATAGTTTATGTAAATGACCCCAAAAATACAAATCCTGAACATACCTGCACAAAATTCAAGGGCACCACACAGTAATAGTGGGAGACTTTAACATCCCACTCTTGCCAGTGGATTAGTCTGCCAGACAGAAAAGTAACAGAGAAATAAGGGATCTAATAGATGTTATTACTCAAATGGACTTATCAGACATCTATAGAACATTCCATTCAAACAAAAAAGAATATTCTTCTTCTCAGCACCCCATGGAACCTTCTCTAAAATTAACAACATACATTGTCACAAAGCAAATCTCAACAGATATAAAAAAATTGCAATAACCCCCTGTCTTATGGTGTCAAGAAATCTTAAAGTTAGAATTCAACAACAACACAAATTCTAGAACACCTACAAACTCATGTAAATTGAATAATGCCCAACTGAATCACCTCTGGTTCAAGGAGACAATAAGCACAGAAACTAAAGATTTCCTAGAATTTAATGAAAAAGAATGTAGAACATACACAAACTTATGGGATACTTTGAAGAGGAAAGTTCATAGCATTAAAAGTCTACATGAAAAAGTTGGAGAAATACAACACTATTGAATTAATAAAACACCTGAAATGTCTAGAACAAAAAGAAGCAAACACATCCAGGGAGGACTGAAATCAATAAAATAGAAGGAAAGACAACAATAGAAAAAATCAATAAAACAAAGAGTTTGTTCTTTGAGAAAATCAAAAAGATAAGCAAACCTACATTTGAACTTGCCAAAATCCAAGGAGATAATACCCAAATCAACAAAATCAGAAATGAAAAGGGGGTTATGACAACAAATACTGAGGAAATATAGAGAATCATCATATCATATTTCCAAAACCTGCACTTGACAAAATTAACAAATTTAAAAGAAATGGACAGTTTTCTATATACAATCCACATGACAAAATTACATCAATACCAGATAAAAAATTTAAATAGGCCTATAACCCCTAAAGAAATAGAAGCAGTCAACTCTCTCAACCAAGAAGGAGAAGAAGAGGAAGAGGAAGAGGAGGAGGAGGAGGAGGAGAATAATGAGAAAGAATAGTAGTAGTAGTATTACTAGGAGGAGGAGGAGGTAGAAGAAGAACAAGAACAAGAACAAGAACAAGAAGAACAAGAAGAAGAAGCCTAGAACTAGATAGC